ACTCCATATTTTGATAACACAGAGCCAACACAATAATCCAGCACAGTATAGAAAACAATGTTCCTTCAACGTGACACATTGAGGATTAGATATGACCCCTATGACCATGTAATTCTAGGGTACCTCAACATCATTCAAGACTGAGAGGTTATAAACTTTCTGAAAAAAGGATCAAAATATCGTCCACTGTCAAAAATGAATTGAAAGAGTGTGGTCAGGTCATTAGGGATGCTCTTTCATCCTATTGTAAAACTTGGTGTAAACTGGAGAAATTTGACAAAAAGTCACTGGATTCCTATTTGAATATTTTGGATATTCCCATATCACATTTCAAAAATAATTTAGAAATTAATAAACGGGTAAGTAATACACCAATTTCTAGGATTAAAAACAAAAATTCAAGTTCTTAATAAAAGCATTTTGTGTTCATACTGGCAAACAAAGCAGCAAACAACGTGGTATTGGTATGACGTAAATACTACACAGATGTTCTAAAGAATGAAATTTAAAATTTTTCTACATTCAAGGCTGTGCTCCCCACAGGGAGTCAAATAGTTGATAATCATGTCACTACCACATCTCAGCTTGAGACCTCCTCTGAATATTTGAAGGTATTGGTGATGACCTCTTACTACTGTGTTTATATTTCACAAATTGTTTGCTATGACCATGTCTGTAGCCGCGTTTTAGATTTCAACAAACGTGATTTATGTATAACTGGAAAATTATTATGTCCGAGATTACGTTATCACAAATTAATTAAACTTTAACTAAATTCGTTGATAGATACAGAGATTTGGTTAAGAAGTTTGGCTTTACCTGTGGCATTCTTATTAAAAACATGAGACACATCCTAATTTTTATGTGATGTTGTTTATAGAGATTAATATAGATACTATCCATGTAAATTAATTGATCCTTTGCATAAACTTATTCTTAAAGGTGATCAATTTAATAGCATAGTAAAATCTTTAAACTTTGTTGTTATCAGTACTAAGATTGATTTTGTTTTTGACAAATTAAAGCATAACCAAATATATATTGCTATACATGTACAGTTATCCGCACTTATGATCCTACATCCTGTAGATATTGTTTACTATTTTAGCATTGCACTAGTTCATGCCAATTTCAGACTTTTTTTGACATTTTTACACTCAATCCATTGGAGGCATACTGATTGATACTTCAGGGTGGGAGAACAGGATTTATTTATTACATGTAGTTGTAATTGGCTTGAACAAGCGTTCAAGAACTATGATTACTCTTATTTCTGTGCTATGTGTTATTGCTTTTATGTTAGTTATTTTTTGTGCTTCGTACCTATCTATTGAGTTAAGCCTTTTGCTACTAATTTTTATACGACCGCAAAAAAATTTTTGTGGTCGTATATTGGTATGACGTTGGCGTCGTCGTCATCGTCGTCGTCGTCCGGCGTCGTTGTCCGAAGACGCATTAGTTTTCGCACTCTAACTTTAGTTAAAGTTAATGAATCTCTATGAAATTTTACCATAAGGTTCAATACCACAAAAGGAAGGTGGGGATAGATTTTGGGGGTTATGGTACCAACGGTTAAGGAATTAGGGGCCAAAAAGGGGCCAAAAATAAGCATTTTCTAGTTTCCAGACAATAACTGTGGAACGGTGTATGGATCTCTCTGAAATTATACTACAAGTTTCCATACCACAAAGGGATGGTTAGGATTTGCTTTGGGGGGTTATTGCTCAAACCGTTTAAGAATTAGGGGCAAAAAAGGGGGAAAAACAAGGTTGTCCTCATTAATGGACAAATACTTTAGTACAAAACATAATTTAAAGCAGTGTAAGGTAGATAAATCAAATATATCATTGAAATTATCTCCCTTACACTGCTTTTAAATTATGTATAAAGTAATGGTTAATGAACAATTAAGATAATTTAAAACAGTGTAAGGGGGGTAATCCAAATACAACGTTTTGGTTACTTCCCTTACACTGCTTTTAAATTATGTTTAAAGAAATGCATATTTATAAAGGAAGACCAGTATGGCACATTAGATTTGTAAAATCTTTGACCACATTTATTTATTTGTTATGCCAAATCTAACCGTGTATTTAGATTTTTAATTTTGGGTCCAGTTTTCAAATTGGTCTACATTAAGGTCCAAAGGGTCCAAAATTAAACTTTGTTTGATTTTAACAAAAATTGAATATATGGGGTTCTTTGATATGCTGAATCTAAACATGTATTTAGATTTTTGATTTTTGGCCCAGTTTTCAAGTTTGTCCAAATTGGTGTCCAAAATTAAACTTTGTTTGATTTCAACAAAAATTGAATATATGGGGTTCTTTGATATGCTGAATCTAACCATGTATTTAGATTTTTTATTTGTGGACCCCGCTATCAAATTGGTTCATATTGAGGTCAAAAGGGTCCAAAATTAAACTTTGTTTGATTTCATCAAAAATTGAATTATTGGGGTTCTTTGATATGCCAAATCTAACCGTGTATTTAGATTTTTAATTTTGGGTCCCGTTTTTTAAATTGGTCTACATTAAGGTCCAAAGGGTCCAAAATTAAACTTAGTTTGATTTTAACAAAAACTGAATTTTTGGGGTTCTTTGATATGCTGAATCTAAACATGTGTTTAGATTTTTGATTATGGGACCAGTTTTCAAGTTGGTCCAAGTTGGGGTCCAAAATTAAACTTTGTTTGATTTCAACAAAAATTGAATATATGGGGTTCTTTGATATGCTGAATCTAAACATGTATTTAGATTTTAGATTTTTGACCCAGTTTTCAAGTTGGTCCAAATTGGGGTCCAAAATTAAACTTTGTTTGATTTCAACAAAAATTGAATATGTGGGGTTCTTTGATATGCTGAATCTAACCATGTATTTAGATTTTTTATTTGTGGACCCCGCTATCAAATTGGTTCATATTGAGGTCAAAAGGGTCCAAAATTAAACTTTGTTTGATTTCATCAAAAATTGAATTATTGTGGTTCTTTGATATGCCAAATCTAACCCGTGTATTTAGATTTTTAATTTTGGGTCCCGTTTTTTAAATTGGTCTACATTAAGGTCCAAAGGGTCCAAAATTAAACTTAGTTTGATTTTAACAAAAATTGAATTCTTGGGGTTCTTTGATATGCTGAATCTAAACATGTGTTTAGATTTTTGATTATGGGCCCAGTTTTCAAGTTGGTCCAAGTTGGGGTCCAAAATTAAACTTTGTTTGATTTCAACAAAAATTGAATATATGGGGTTCTTTGATATGCTGAATCTAAACATGTATTTAGATTTTAGATTTTTGGCCCAGTTTTCAAGTTGGTCCAAATTGGGGTCCAAAATTAAACTTTGTTTGATTTCAACAAAAATTGAATATATGGGGTTCTTTGATATGCTGAATCTAACCATGTATTTAGATTTTTTATTTGTGGACCCTGCTATCAAATTGGTTCATATTGAGGTCAAAAGGGTCCAAAATTAAACTTTGTTTGATTTCATCAAAAATTGAATTATTGTGGTTCTTTGATATGCCAAATCTAACCGTGTATTTAGATTTTTAATTTTTGGTCCCGTTTTTTAAATTGGTCTACATTAAGGTCCAAAGGGTCCAAAATTAAACTTAGTTTGATTTTAACAAAAACTGAATTTTTGGGGTTCTTTGATATGCTGAATCTAAACATGTGTTTAGATTTTTGATTATGGGACCAGTTTTCAAGTTGGTCCAAGTTGGGGTCCAAAATTAAACTTTGTTTGATTTCAACAAAAATTGAATATATGGGGTTCTTTGATATGCTGAATCTAAACATGTATTTAGATTTTAGATTTTTGACCCAGTTTTCAAGTTGGTCCAAATTGGGGTCCAAAATTAAACTTTGTTTGATTTCAACAAAAATTGAATATATGGGGTTCTTTGATATGCTGAATCTTACCATGTATTTAGATTTTTTATTTGTGGGCCCGCTATCAAATTGGTTCATATTGAGGTCAAAAGGGTCCAAAATTAAACTTTGTTTGATTTCATCAAAAATTGAATTATTGGGGTTCTTTGATATGCCAAATCTGACCGTGTTTTTAGATTTTTAATTTTGGGTCCCGTTTTTTTTAAATTGGTCTACATTAAGGTCCAAAGGGTCCAAAATTAAACTTAGTTTGATTTTAACAAAAATTGAATTCTTGAGGTACTTTGATATGCTGAATCTAAACATGTGTTTAGATTTTTGATTTTTGGCCCAGTTTTCAAGTTTGTCCAAGTTGGGGTCCAAAATTAAACTTTGTTTGATTTCAACAAAAATTGAATATATGGGGTTCTTTGATATGCTGAATCTAACCATGTATTTTGATTTTGGACATTTGACCATAATAGGTAAATTAAAAAAATTGAAGTTCTTAGACCACATTCTTTCTGTGTCAGAAACCTATGCTGTGTCAAATATTTAATCACAATCCAAATTCAGAGCTGTATCAAGCTTGAATGTTGTGTCCATACTTGCCCCAACTGTTCAGGGTTCGACCTCTGCGGTCGTATCAAGCTGCGCCCAGCGAAGCATTTTATTACAGTTTGTTCTTATGTTTTGCTGTTATACCACTGTCCCAGGTTAGTGGCGGGTTGAGTGCTCACTAACATGTTTATCCCTGCCACATTCTTTTTGTGCCTGTTCCAAGTCAGGAGCCTGTAATTCAGTGGTTGTTGTTGGTTCATGTCTTTCGTATTTGTTTTTCGTAAATTGTACTGTTATAAATTTGTCCGTTAGTTTTTGTTTAAATTGTTTCACATTTTCATGTGGGTCCTTTTATAGTTGACAATATGGTATGGGTTTTCTTGCTGTTGAACTCTGGTGGATAGTTGTCTCATTGGAAATCATACCACAACCCTTTTTTTTTTTTAAGTATGTCTATGATTTTTTTTTAAAGTGGAATTTTTTTAGTGGACTGGATGGTACTCCAAATGATATTTTAATAGATATAAAATCATATGTATGTTCATAATAATACATTACTTTTTTTTGTAGATTGTTATTTTGGATGAGCCCTCCTCTGGATTAGATCCTGATGCCAGACGACAGATCTGGACAGTTTTACAGAAAAACAAGGAAGGAAGGACAATGATTCTTACAACACATTTTATGGATGAAGCTGATCTCCTTGGTGACAGAATTGCTATTATGGCTGAAGGAGATGTTAAATGTTACGGAACTTCACTTTTCCTCAAAAATAAATATGGTAAGTACCAACTCCTTTTTCATGCTGTGGATCCCTTTATGTTTTGGAGTGTGGGTAGAGGGGGATGGGGGTGGGGGTGGGGGTGGCGGGGGGGGGGGGGGATGGGGTGAGGTGGGGGATGTTGTTAGTGGTGATTATTTTGGGTGTACCATGTTATGCAGCTTTATCACTTCAAACGTAAAAACAATGAAATGTTTGTATTTTTTTTTACTATATGAATTAATTGCTCTGCCTGTACCCACAACACCATTAATACTAATAAGTATTAAACAGATATAAAACAGCAATGCTATTTAAGAGGTTTTTTTTCTGCCTGTTTTCCATTGAATATGCATGTTTGATAAAATAAGTATGGAAAACTTTTTGTTTTTTTATATCATATAAAAGATTCTTCATCCACAGATCTTCAGGAAAATTTAATTAACTTGCAACTTTTAATGGTATATTTAACCTATTTATACAACAAAATTGTCTTTGTAGTTGTGTATGGTGTTAATTTTGAGCTGTGTTAATTGTTGTCCCATAATGTAAACATACTTTTTTATAGGTGGTGTTTTATTATCTGTAATTGTCTCTTGGTATGTGAATATAATGCATATAATTTTCTGTTTGTATGGTAATGAATCAAATCCTTATAGATGCAATGTTTTCTTATTTCTGATGTAACTCTCTTGATAGCCAAACTCAAATTCAATATCACAATCCACAAAGTCCCTAATGGTGAGTTTTAAGTCAAAAGTAAATTGTAACAAGTAAAAATTTTATAAACTCACCATCAGTGAAATTGTGCATTGTAGATCTAAACCAACTCCCAAATAATTTAATGTTAGCATAAGTGATAAAGGGGGTATCTGTGTGTAAACCAAAACATAGTCCCAATAATTCATACTGCCTCAAAGCAGACAGAATCTTTGAATGAATAATATTTATTAATACAATAAATTCAGTAACAAAATATTTTGGCCCTTGAGAAATACTCTGCATAATTAAGAATTTAGGAGTTCCTGCCGAGCAAGTCAAATTGCAACCTGTAGTGTGAGGAAGAACCTGCTCGACAATACACCAGCCAGGAATGTGAAGCGAGGGTTCTCCACCAAGGGGATGAGACTAGGCATCTCATTTGCAACTGGGGAGTGCAAGGTCTGCATGGGGGATTGCCCATGTGGTGCTATTACAAGTAGTAAGTAGCATGGTCTGTCAATCTGGCGCAGGAATAAATTTGATAAAATTTGTCCCCGAAATGCTTGGGGATGAATGAAATTTTAGAAATGACCAGTGTTAAAATTCCATCAAGGTCCAAAAACTCAGATGGTTACAGATGAGTACCCCAAGGATTTTGGTTAATTATACCTTCAATAATGTAATGAGAGTAAAAAAAAAGTAAAAAAAAAAAAAAAAACGATAATATACACAACAACACATACTGTTCACAACATAATGTAACAATTACCTATAGTAATATAGAGAATGTTATAAAATGATACTCAATATTCAAAATGAGATGCTAAAAAAAAAATAATATCCAATATTCAAAGTTTCAACATGATAATACTATAAAAATTACATCCTTAGATTACTCTAAATGTCAACAAGTGTCATTTCTCAACTTTCTAAATCAGTAACATATATTGAGATGCAAAACATCTGTAAAATGTATTTAAAATCTCCATATTATGCACTTGATGCAAGGAGTGTACAGCATATAAAATATACTATTCATGGTGATTGTCAGAATTCTAAAATGAAAGAAAAAAAAAATAAATAAAAATTATTTTTTTTTAAATATTAAAATTGAATTACTTCGCTCATTATGGCATGGCCCTTAGATTTCCCTATCTTAGTTATCTATAGATCATGAAATTATTTTATAATTATTCTGCAACAGGTGGGTTATGTTATGAGGACAACAAACAAAAATCTTAAAAGAGAGAGACAAATAAAAAATAAATAAACATATAACACTTCTATTCCAATAAAGATGATGAAATGAATCCATACTTAATATTTCATGAGGCTGTTTTCTGAATATGCATGTTAAGATATATAAAAGAAAGTGAAAATTAGATTATTTTTTATATTAACCAGTTAAATCTAGTCTCTAGTTTGCCTGAAGTTTATAATTTTCAAAGACAATTCTCAGCACAATACATCTGTATATATGAAATAAAAGTTCAATACAAATAGACTTGCCTAGAACAGTTGTATAGAAGGTAAGGCCAGTACATAAACACTCAATGGAAATCTCTGTATGGTCACAAATACATATGGATCTGATGTTAGATTCTGCTCTATCACATAGTACTCTCTGACACAGTTATCAATGTTATAAACTCCTCAAGTATTGACAATGTAATGCTGCTTTATATAAGTCATCCAAATTCAGATATATCCAAATATAAAAATGTGTACATGTACTACACAAGTTTTTAAACATTGAAAACTCAGCTGTGTATAGGTAAATAAGATCCGAAGGTGAAAACAAAACAAAGTTCATGTACAAAGTAAATATTTAAAATCAGTATAGTAGCGGTTATGTAATGCAGCCACATTGTGACAATGTTCAAGTTAAAAAAAAACTTATTTCCCCCCTTAACTAATGCTCTTCTGGTTTATAGTATCAATTTTAAACTCCAGGTCTTTTTAATTTCACCTGACTACATCCTTAATTCAAAATTTCAAATTTGAAATGATTCTAAATGGATAAACAGTTACTTTTATTTATATATATTTATAGTTTTAACATAAGTACAGCATTTGATATTGCCTATTACTGACACCTTTCTTCGTTTCTTTTATTTGCATATCTAAACACTGAGGAAATGGAGACATATTGCACCTCCTGTATGCACATTAGGTTCATAAGATTTATAATCAAAGACATTAGACACTATCAAATTCTTCATTTTTTCCTAAGATGTGGCTACAGCTGGACTTATATGTCAATGGGACGAACAATGATTTCCAGACCTTATTATTAAACTTTACATTTATTCAACTGGAGCTAAGTCATACCTACATATACACATGAACATTGGCAGTATTCTAATTATAGTATCACCAGTTGGATAATCTTTAACAATATTTCATCTGTGGTTTAAAGCACAATCAGCAACTAGTCTCACATTTATCAATACATATAAGTTAAAAATATATAATTTTTTCACTTTGTTGTAATAATGATTGGGAATTTTGTTCAGTAAATAATTTATTTAGGCTATGATATAAGATTTTGTGGTATGAAATTGTTAACTGAAAAGGCTAGTTCATGCATTGTTTAATTCACTGGAGCTGTTTTGGTAGAAATGACATCTTAGTATGGTAAACAATGTTGGATAAAACAGAAGAAAAAGTTATTGCCATTATCGATTATCTGATGCCCATTTTTTCTTGAATAGGAGCTGGGTACCACATGGTCATTGTTAAAGATGTCAAATGTGATGTCAACAGGATGACAGAGGTCATCAAGAGTTATGTCCCTTCTGCTGTAATGGAGAACAATGTTGGTGCTGAGCTGTCATACATTCTTCCCCATGAGTGTTCCCACAAATTTGAAGAAATGTTCACTGATATTGAGGAGAATAAAGCAGCCTATGGTATTGCTAGCTATGGAGCATCGGTCACAACCATGGAGGAGGTTTTCCTTAGGTAATATAATTAAAATAGATCAGATAGAAATGCAATATAAGTTGCAGAATTCAACAATAACCTGTAAAAATGTGAACTGCTCATATTAGATTTTGTTGGCATTAAGAAAATTTAGTATGATAGCAAATGAACATTCTTTGTTGATTTAAATGCAATTGCTGTATCTTAATAAATATTGCCCTCAAAACTTTGTGGTAAATATACTTGGTTAAAAGCACAATTATTTTTATATGCCCGATTGTCAAAATTTTGACGGGACGTATTATGGTATACAAATGTCGTCTGTCCGTCTGTCTGTCCGGCGTAAGCATGTCGCACCGCAAATTGAGAACGACTTATCCAAATTTCATGAAACTTAATATAGTTGTTTCTTATGATGGTCAAACGATCTGTATACTTTTTGGTGAAAATAAGATTAAAACTTTTTGAGCTACGGGACTTAGTATCTAAAACAGGTGTGTGTTTTTTTTTCACATGTCACGCCGTATCTCAAAAACAATTTATGATTATTGCTTAAAACTTTACACACTTCTTAGTTATATTAATCTTAAGATCTGTATACTTTTTGGTGATGATTCAAAATTTTATTTTTGAGTTATTGAGTATTTTGTAAAAAAAGGGGAAGGGGTTTTTCACATGTTGCACCATATCTCAAAAACGATTTATGATTATTGCTTAAAATTTTACACACTTCTTAGTTATATTTAACTAAAGATCTGTATACTTTTTGGTTTTGATTCAAAATTCTATTTTAGAGATATTGATTTTCTTTTTTTTTTAAAAAGGGGGGTTTTTCACATGTCGCGCCGTATCTCAAAAACGATTTATGATTATTGCTTAAAACTTTACATACTTGTTAGTTATATTAATCTTAAGATCTGTATACTTTTTGGTTTTGATTCAAAATTTTATTTTAGAGATATTGAGTTTTTTATAAAAAAAAGGGGGGTTTTCGCATGTCGTGCCGTATGTCAGAAACTATTTATGATTATTGCATAAAAATTCACACACAAGACGACGGGCGTATCATGCGCTCATGGAACAGCTGTTTGTTAAGTTTTTTAAATGCACAATTTAAAAAATGTTATTAGCATCATAAATGAAAATTATACAAAAATGTCTTCAAAATAGGGTTGGAGAAAACAGAAGCATAGAATTAGGAGAAAACAGAAGCATAGAACTACCCCAACACAATGGAGTAGTTGTAACCAAAGGCAATGGCAGAATGGATTTATCTGTCAACGCAACAGGTACACCTGGTTTCATATCAGGTACTTATTTTCCATGAATACAAAGTGCTTCAAGATTAAAAATTATTGCTTTTGTTACTGTACTTCTTGAAGATAATGATAATACTTACAAAAGTCAAATTACCATTTACATTTCTATAAAAAGATATATCAAAATAAATGTTTAAAAATTCTAATTAAGACCTTTTGGAGAAAAATATTGCTTAATTGATTTACTTTTAGAGGTGTAATACCACCAAATCATAGTACTTCATATCCGTTTCATACGAAAAAGGGTAGAAAAAAATATTCCCTTGAATTTGACAGTTGTAGGAAATTAACCCTGCCTTTCATTGCAGAAAAAAATTTCTGAGTTATAAACATATATCTTGGGTGTTTCAAAGCACAATTCTTTTTTTATTTGGTGTTTCAATAAAGTATTTTGGAAATTTGAGATGACATGGTTACCATGGTTACTAAAGCTTGTTAACAGGAAAAAAAGGAGTAAAAATTTGATTGGTTTACTTCTGGTGATGGTTATTAAGTCTCCTAAACGAAGTTTGGGAAGACTTATTGTTTTTGCTCAGTTCTTATTATTAAGTCGCCAAAACAGAGTTTTGGGGACTTTATGTTTTTGTCCCGTTTCTTATTATGGCACCCTCAACTGAGTTGGGGTGACATATTGTTATTGTTCGTTTCTTTTTTTCTTATTATTATGGCACCCTAAACGGAGTTGGGGTGACATACTGTTATTCTACGTTTCTTATTTTTCTTCCACACATTTTGTCCGCGCGAGTTCTTGGAATCCAATGGACCAATGTTGATGGAACTCTACTAAAATGAGGACTCCCATGTAAAGTTGTGCACCTTGCTATGGAATGGTAAAAAATGGCCGCCGTTTCCATGGAAACAGCAAAAATGAGAAAAAAATCAAAGTGTTCCAAACTGGAAGAAACTCCACAGGAATGGTAATTGGCATGTGCTGATTTGCAGTTTTGACTTCGGAATTTTCAAAATGGCTGTCGTTACCATGGAAACAGCTAAAATATCAAAAATTCTAACTCTTTCGTTATAAACCCAACTGGATGAAACTTTATGAAAATGTTACCCAGTATGCTAAGATGTCAAGACAATATTTGGATAGTCCAAAATGGGCGCCGTTGTCATGGAAACAGGGGGCAAGTTTTACATTGACCCTATAGGAAAAGGCATAAAATCAGCATTTTCTTAAAGAGTATTTGACCAAAGTCAATGAAACTGTATTGATATATAACATGACATGTGGCAATGAGATGTCTGCTTTTAGAATTTTGGAATTATTCACTGTAACCATGGCAACAGCAAAAATGTTCAAAATTTCAAAAAAAATCAAAATGCTGCAAACTGGATGAAACTTTACAGAAAGGGCAGAGTTGCATTTTGAAGTTGGAATTTTCAAAATGGCTGCCGTAACCATGGAAACAGCAAAAAAGTTCAAAATTTCAAAATGCTCCAAACTTAATGAAACTTTACAAAAATGATACTTTATGTTTTTGTCCCGTTTCTTCTTATTAAGTCGCCAAAACGGAGTTTTGGGGACTTTATGTTTTTGTCCCGTTTCTTATTATTATGTCACCCGATCGACAATGTCGGGTGACATATTGTTTTTCCTCTGTTTCTTTTTCCCTATTATTATGTCACCCGAATGACAATGTCGGGTGACATATTGCTTTTCCTCTGTTTCTTTGTTATTATTATTATTCTTCCAATGATTTTTGTCTGGCGGTTTTTTTGGAGCCAATGGAACCAATCTTAATGATAGTTAAGTATAATGAGGAACACAAAATTTCGGGTTGCAGTAGGTCTTAAGAACATAAAAAATGGCTGCCGTTACCATGGAAACGGAACAAATGTGAAAAAATCCAGTTTTTGGTTTTTATGAATTATTTGGATATGCTTAAACTTAGAATCATTATATTTTAATACAATGTAGGTGCCCACTATATACTGGTTTTGGATGATTTTGGCAATCATTGGAACTACTATGTTGCCATGGAAACTACACCAAAAATATCAAAAATATCAAAATGCTCAAAATTTGATGAAACTTCACAGTAACGATGAGCAACATTGGTATATGTGGAATTTGGCGTTGGAATTTCAAAAATGTCTGTCGTTACCATGGAAACAATGCAAAACAGGTCAAAATGTAGCATTTACTTTCTTAAAATGGTAGGTCAAATTGATTGAAACTTTGATGGTATTTTCCCTCCCATGTACCAATGTGGTATCTGCCAATAAATTTTGGGAATGGTCTCTGTTACCATAGGAACCATCACAAATGTCAAAATTTTCAAAAATTTCAAAATGCTCAAAAATTGATGAAACTTAATATGATTGTTGACTGGCAAGTCTGGATGAGACTTTTGACTTTGAAATTTTCAAAATGGCTGCCATTGCCATGGAAACCGCAAAAATGTGATTTTTTTAAAAAGCTCTGAATGTACTGAAAATTTACAGAAAGATGTACATGCATATATGTGCATTCACTAAATTTTTTGAAATGGCTGCCGCTTAGTGGCAATGGGGGAAGGGTGACATCCGCTATTGCTTGCAATGGCAATTCTAGTTATTATTATTTTTCTTCCACCTAATTTTGTCCGCCCGTTTTCTCAGAGCCAGAGGAACCAATCTAAATGATGGGGCACTATAACAAGGAACCCTGACTTTCGAGTTGCAGTGCAACTTTGGAACTTAAAAATGGCTGCCGTTACCATGGAAACAGCGAAAATGTGAAAAAAAAAATCAAAATTCTAAATCTTTTATTAGAAGAGCCAACTGGATGAAACTTTATGGGAATGTTGCTTGGAATGCCTAGATGTGTTGACCATATTTAGAAATTCCAAAATGGCCACCATTACCATGGAAACTTGGGGAAAGTTTACCATTAAACCCTATGGGAAATTTCTTAAAGTAGTATTTACTCACTTAAAATGGTAGGTCAAATACCGTGATTCTTTCATGGTTTGTTCCTTGTCACATGCCAATGTGGCAGATGTCTTTGGAATTTTAGAATCGGTCACTGTTACCATGGAAACAGCATGATACAAAAATGTCCAAAAATTTCAAAATGCTCCAAACTTTATGAAACTTTACAGAAATGTTAACTGGCATGTGCAGAGTTGCTATTTGACTTTGGAGTTTTGGAAATAGCTGCCGCTACCATGGAAACATCAAAAATGTCAAAAAAGTCAAAATGATCAAAACTTAATGAAACTTAATATTAATGTTATCTGGCAAGTGTAGATGAGACTTTTGACTTTTGAATTTCCAAAATGGCCGCCGTTGCCATGGAAACGGCAGAAATGTGAAAAATTCCAAATTGCTCTAAATGTACTGAAAATTTACAGACAGATGTATAGCAATGCATATATGTGCATTCACTCTTCAAAATTTTTCGAAATGGCTTCCGCTTAGTGTCCATGGGGGAAGGGTGACATCCGCTATTGCTTGCAATGGCAAATCTAGTTATTATTATTATTATTATTATTCTTCTTAACCCTAATTTGTCCGACCATTTTCTTGCAAGCCTTAAATGATGGAAACTTTATATTTGGTATGATGATGGGGTAGTATCCCTAGGGGTGCATTCACTATTTTTTATTTCAAATGGGGGTCAACTTCGCACTATTTGGGGGCCGGAACATGGGTGGGGTCATTTTTCGACTATTGATTCGCTACTGGTAGAACCTTTAAGTTTTGTGTAATACAAGAGACCGATGTCCAGGTGTCCATTTCACATTTTTTATTTCAGCCCAGGGTCATCTTTGCATTATTTTAGGGGGTCAATTTTCATGGAACATTCTAGAACTATAGTCGTGATTAGTCATGTGATAGTGTTGAATTATTCCTATGTACTTTTTATGTTATATAATGATAGATTATTACAGGTAGCACCATATGTAGCTGTAATTCGACTTCGGAATTTTTAAAATGGCGGCTGTTACCATGGAAACTGCAAAAATGTGAAATTTTTTAAAATGCTTCAAATTTAATGAAATTTTACAGAGATGTTAACGAGTGTATGTAGATTTGGAATATGACTTCGAATTTCCAAAATGGCCGCCGTTGCCATGGAAACAACAAAAATGCGAAAAATCTAGATTTGGTCCAATCTTTATGAAATTTGACAGTAAATGTGACCTGTCATGTGTAGATGTGCCATCTGACTTTGGAATTTTCAAAATGGCTGCCGTTACCATGGAAACTGCAAACATGTCAAAAAATTCAAAATGCTTCAAACTTAATGAAACTTTACACAAATGTTGACTGTCTTATGTAGATGTGACATTTGACTTTGGAATTTCCAAAATGGCCACTGTAAACATGGAAACACGAATGCCTAAATTTGAAAATTGGACCAATTTTTATGAAACTTGTAAGTAATGTGACCTGTCATGTGTAGATGTGCTATCCGACTATGAAATTTCAATATGGCTGCCGTTACCATGGAAACAGCAGAACAATGGTTGGGGGCCGTTTTGGCGACTTTTGTGTTAGCATCCTAACACAGGATTACTTGTTATGGCACCCTCAACGGAGTTGGGGTGGCATACTGTTATTCTACGTTTCTTTTTTTTCTTATTTTTCTTCCACACATTTTGTCCAATCGAGTTCTCAGAACTGAACAGACCAATGTTTATGGAACTGAACTACAATAAGGAACCCCATGTGAAGTTGTGCACCTTGCTATGGAATGGTAAAACATGGCCGCCGTTTCCATGGAAACAGCAAAAATGCGAAAAAAATCATAGTGTTCCAAAATGAAAGAAACTCCACAGGAATGGTAACTGGCATGTGCTGATTTGTAGTTTGACTTCGGAATTTTCAAAATGGCTGCCGTTACCATGGAAACAGCAAAAATGTCCAAAATTTCAAAATGCTCCAAACTTAATGAATCTTTACAAAAATGATAATTCGCATGTGTAGATGCACTCTTTGACTTTGGAATTTTCTAAATGGCTGCCGCTCGCCTTGCAATAGGGGAAGGGTGCCATCCGCTA